AACAAACAACCCTTTACATAGCTTTGATTTATCTTTTTTATTTTTTGTTAATTTTATTTTCTTTACAGCTCGACATAAAGGTGCAAAAATGTGTGTTAAATTTTGTAAATAGATAACAAATGGTTAACTTTTAAAAAAAAGCAGGGATTAAAAGAATTAAAATTGGAAGTTTTTCCTTGTATGTGTCAAGTGCTCAACTTAGGGTAATAATGAGTTTTTATGGGTGGGAGAAACCGATGAAGGAGAATAAATGTTATTAATAATAATTCCTTCAAAATATTAAAAATATGAGAAATAAATGGATATATTATATAAATTAATTGAAGTATAGTTTATATATAAATGTAATATATAAATATAATTAATTGTATAGAGTTATTTATTTAGTGAATGAGTACATTAATTCATTTAAATTAGAAAATTAAAAATATGTAAAAAAAGAAAGTATAGGAAGAAAAGAAAAGAATAAGAATGTAAAAAAAAATTATATTACAATATAATAGATCATGTTATTCCTTTTTTTTTGTGAATTTTCTTAGTTTAATAATGAAATTAAATTTAGAAACTAATATAGTTTCTTTTATAAATTTTATAAATAGGTAAAACTTTAGAAGCTGAAATAATATTTTAATCGTTAAGGCCCCGTTTACCTACTCTCAATCGTAGTGGAAATCAATAATAATGAAAATCAATTGTAATTATTATAAAATTAAAATAACTAAAAGGTATTATTCTTTTTGTCACCATCTTTAAAATTTTTTTTTGACAAATTTTATTTTTTAAATTTAATTTCACGGCTGGTTTGTTATATGCAACGCTAGTAAAAATGATTTATTTTAAACTTATCGTACAAATTCTAAAATGATTATACTTTTAAAAATTTAAGGAGTAAAATAAAATGATTATATTTTTTTAAAATTTAAGGATTAAAATAAAATAAGCTATATGAAAGTTTGTTCAAAACTTCTAAAATTTCTTTACTTGTTAGATGAAATTAAAAAAAAAAAAAAAGGAGGAGGAGGAATAAAAAAAGATGAACTATACAGCAATAGCCAAAATAATGTACATTTTGCCTGGCCTAAAACAAAGACAGATCATTTGAATTTATTAGTGGTCCAAAACTCTCTCAAACAAGCAAATGATTCTTCAAGAAATTGCTATGACAAAAAAATAATGTAACATGTGTGATAGGTAGTAAATAGTTCCAAAAAAAAAAAAAGAATTTTTTGAATACGATATGGAAAGGTGGGGATTCAAACTCAGGATTTTTTACTTCAAGATATGTGCTTTGATTAGTTGAGCTATGCTCATGATGACAAAAAAAAAGAAGAATTCGTAATAGATAAATTAATTCTAAACGTTGAAAACGTGAAATCATAGTTTTTTTTTCTAAACTATGAGTGACACAAATAAATAGATAATTTTGAAACTAGTTGGCACGGCCATATAACTGCGTCCATCTTAAAATATATAAGGGAAAAAATACAAAGTCGTAAACATCTATCTCAAAACAAAATTAATTGAGTAGATGATATTTTTTGCCTTAATTATTAGACATTCTACCTTATTCTCTAAATTTTGCATAAAAATCCATTAATTTTATTCTTGTTACCAATTTTTATTAGCCACACAAATTAAACAGAAATAATATTTGATTTCAAAATCCAACTCGACCCATTATATATGCTTCAAAAATATTGATCTACTCGTTAGGTCAATAATAAATAAAAAATTACATGCCTTCTGTAGCGTTTCATTAAACAACCGACGATGAAAAACTAACGGTAACAATTGAAATGATCTTTTAAAAGTTGAAAGATCAGAATGAAATTAATTATTTTTTTAAGTTCACAATATATATTAATGAAAAAAAGGAATCCAATGTTGATAATTAAATAGAGGAGAGGATATGGGCATATGGTTGTTTAAATTTGGCCATAAGATTGCTATCTCTTACTGCACATTGTACCTATTATTGTCCTCTTTGGGACGATCATCAAACACCTTGTGTTTTTCTCAAAATTAAAAACAAAAAGTAAAACGGCAGGATTCACCTTTTTATTTAAAAACAAAATTTAGAAACAAATTTAAATTTTTTATTCCTTTTTTTTAAAACTGACTTAAAACATATTACAAAAAGGTTCTCTCTTATTTTGAAACATTCAAAACCTTTTTTTAAACATTTTTTTTTAAAAAAAGGGAGTATCCTGTGCAGGATACTAAAAAAAAAAAAAAAAAAATCATTTTTTTAACAAGTTTTGAAGTAGTTGTCCCAAATTAATGCAAAAAATTTACCCATCTTTCTATTTTGTTCTCAAAATTTTACATATCCTAAACGGCGATAGAAGACTTAAGAATATAAGAGAAAAATGAATAACCAATAATGTCTGAAGCTTAAATTAAAATTACATCTACCCTTTTGATAAGGTTAAAGTTCAAATTTTTTTACTCTCGTACGTTCTAAAAAGAGTATCATTTAATCCAAACGAACATAACTTAGCAGTAATTGATATATATTTCCAATCAAAATGTTAAGTTCGATCCCGTACCTTTACATGTTGTACTAAAAAAAGAGCACCATTTAATGTTACTTAAATTAACGGATATTTAGTCCTTGAACTTTCATATATATTTTATTTCGTGACTGAAGAATAAAATATGAGAAAATATCTTATAATATATAGAAATTTTCATGTATTTTGTTTATGTTTCAATGAGATAGAAATGGGTTTAATATTTTTGTGTTTTAATAAAATTTCTTTAATATTTAATTTCTAATGTAATACATTAAGAAAAAAAAGTGAATTTTGCAGTCAATCTGATTTGGAAGAGAGTAGTAGTACTAAATTATAAGAAATTTATTATCGACAAAAAAAAAATGAGAGGGTTGAATTTCTACTCTATGTATCATTGTTGAGCTTAAAAAAAATCATAACACAAGAAATATAAAATAAATTAATTCATTGTCATGTGTCACCTCAAAACTAAAAGTAATAATAATTAATGAACTTTCGTACAATACAGTAACAAAAAGCTAATAAGAGGGACCGAAATTGAGATTTTTCAAAACCTCAAAAAGAAAAAGTATAAAATTAAAAGACTCAAATATATAATTAAAGCATCTCTAAACTTTATTATAAAAATGGTCATGATCATCAACCCTAGACAAATTAAATTTGATTTGATGTACAAAAGAACGATTGTTATTCCATTCCTATTAAATAATGTTCTCTCTAAAATTAAATTTCAATAATTCAAATCATGTTATATATCTTGTCAATCATTTTTATGTATTCAATTATTTCACCAACTTTTTTTCTTATATATATTCTTTTCTTTGCTTTCTTTTACATCCAAAAAAAAAAATATATATATATATTGAACTTTGAAACAACATGTGGGATTGATTCAATGAGATTGATAAATAGGTAGAACATGAATAAAAGTTGAAGATGTTCCAACAAGATTATTATCGACTAACTATATATATATATATATATATTTTATTAAGTAAAACTATATTGGTAAGTTTCTCAAAATAAGCCATTTTACATTTAGTATGCTTTCAAAAAAGAGTATATAAAATTATTTATTTTAAATCATGGATTTGTGAATAATGATTTTAATGTGACCGGATTTGAAAACATTATCATTATGTACTGATATAGGTATATATATTTTTTATTATTGATGAAATTATTAAAAAAAAATCTCTTATTTTTAGTACACATGTGGGATGAGATCGAATTTACAACTTTTTGATTGGAGATATATGCCTCGTTTTAATTTTCAAGAACAAGCATGGTTAATATCCAAATTAATTGAGTTCGTACATTAATATAGATATTTTTTTGATTAACTTTTTTTGGTATTCATTGATAATAATGGTAGTTTA